TGCTGTTTTACTCACATTGTCCAGGTAAGCTGGTATGAGTCTGTGCAGAAGCTCAGCAGTATGAGCGCAGGTGTCTGGTGGGCTTATAATCACACAGTTACCTTAAACAAAATTTAAATTAAATAGATCATTTCAGAATATATATATATATATATATATATATATATATACATACACATACACACACACACACACAGTATATCGCGATTAATTGATTTGACCGCACTAACAAAACTTACCAGCTGCAATGGCACCTACTAAAGGTACCAGACAGAGCTGGAGAGGACTGGTCCAATTCCCAATTATCAATACCACACCCAGCGGCTCATTTACCACCAGGCATTCATCAAATGCAGTCGCCTAGGAATAAAACAGACAGATTTGACCTGAAATTTTGAAGTAGAAAATGCAAAAAAATATCTATATCTGTAATCTTCAGAAAAACATTAATACAATGGTTCTCAGACTTTTTGGCTTTCAGAATATTGTCCAATGCAACATCTAATGTCCTCATATGCTGTAATATTATTCTGGTATGTTATGCAATTATGATAAAGCTGCTTGTTTTTAAACTTTTTTAACCCTTGAGGCCCACTGTGAGAAACACTGCTATAATATCATTAAAAAAACTTGTAGAAGGTTTTAGAAAGTCTTGTAGAAATAATAGTATTAAATTCACTTTAAAACACTATAAAAAAAAATTGTACCATTTTACCACAAGGCAAACAAATCTGGATCAACACTTTGAAACATTTATATCAAACAATTTGAATTTAGGGTTCAGTTAGGGTGAATAAAAAAAATATTTTAAGAACTGATCAATGAAAGGATCGAGTAACCAAAAATGGTTCTTCTAAGGCATTGCTGCGAAAACCCGATTTTGGAAATTAAATTTTTAAGAGTGCATTTTGCTGTGTCACATTGTTGCGTCTGACCGTTTTTGGTTCAAAGGAGTGAAATAGTTGACATCATACAGCATAAAAAGGCATCACCAGGTTTTACAGTCATCATCATTTGACTGCTTGGCATGTTTATAAAGGCAAATACTAATAGCTTGCTAATCTTGTGACAGAGAACACCGGCTATAGTCTTCGTCATAAGCTACTTTGGCAAGCTAAGAGAAAAAACAATGTGAGGCTTTGTGTCTCAGGGACTGAACACTTTTCTTTGGCAAGTGTCTGCTTTGTACACAACCCATGCAAAAACATGAGACATAACAAAAAAATTTCTCTGCTGCTTTAGTCACTTTTTTCAGTTTATACCCAGTTGCGTTCTATACGTTGCACCTCCATCCATTTCTTCAAGTTGCTGATGGTGTGAAGAGCCTCACATTTGACTATCATCAGCTCGGACATCACCGTTTCAAAGCGAGGCTATATGCGAAAGATCACACAAAAAAAAAAAAATTATTCCACCAAAGTGTGCCTTAGCTACAACAGGATATATATATATATAGGCTGGATGAAATTGAGCAAAAGTGACAGTAATGACATTTACGTTATTACAAAAAAAGTTATAATTTCAAATATATGCTGTTCTTTTCAACTTTCTAAGAATCCTGAAAAAATACAATAATATTGTAATATTGTATCACTGTTCCAACTTTCCAACAAAACAAATAATGTAAAAAGATTCTTTAAATCTGCTTTTTCACCACAGGAATAAATAGGCACTTTATTAAAATAGAGAACAGTATAATAATATTTACATAATACATAAATAATATTTAAACATGATAGTTTTACTATATTTTTATACAGCTTTGGTGAGCACAAGCCTTGAATCTATCATATGGCAGTAGTAGTTTTTAAATACCACAGTTTGTTTAAAAAAACCAAAGTAATGAGGATCCATCATGGTTTTACCTATTTCCACCACACTAGTTTGCTCCACCAAACCAGGCTACAATATAAAAACTATAGTCATATAAATAATTTAATAATTAGCTCATCAGACTTATTTAACTCTTATTACCTTATGCACATCCCGTCCAAGAGCATCTACAAAGTCACACTCGTGATCCATCAACATGCGCACCAAAGCCTCTAGCTGAGCCAGTCTGAAGCTGTCCTGGGCTGTTCGTCCGGCCCTGAAAGCTGCTCTGGCTCTCTTCAGGACCTCTGCACATGTGGCTGCTCCACTATTCAGACACACGTCCTCTATCCTTGATCTGGAATACAACCGAGAGTTACACTATCATCTAAATCAGGAATGGGCAACTTGGGTCTTAAAAAGTCACTCTCCTGCAGAGTTCACTTCCAACCCTATCAAAAACACCTAAACAAGCTTATCAATAAGTTTAAAAAGCTAGATGATGCCAGCATTCTTTTCATTAACGAATCAATTAAAAAAACAAAACATTTTTGTGGTCATACTAACCTCCGCAGGGCTTTGAACCACCTGGTTGGAGAAGGACTTGGTGGGGAAGTCATGGTTCTAAACAGCTCAAATATCAGCACATCACATCCAGCAGTGCACCAGGAACTTCAGGATCTGGCAGTACTCAACACACAGACTGAGAAAAAAAACTATCTGAAAGGCACCATAAGTTAATGCAAAAGAGCTTAGAACTGGGGCGTTATATAAACAGATTTACCTTCAACACTCACTGGAAGCATGTGACTGTCACGTTTACTTCAAGTTTCATACATTGCATTTTCCTTTACTCTGTTGTTACAACATAGAGCATACATCACACTTTTCCTTTACTTATTTCATATGGAGCCAGAGTTAAGAGTCAAGAGTCAAGAACAGACCCTCCAAGACCCAGACAAAGAGCTGACTCCTGAAGATCTGGATCAGGATGGTCGAAGAACCAGAAATAAAAAAAAAAGCTGGATTTATTTTTGCCATCACCAAATGGCTTTAAAAAGCCATGAAATTCTCCCAAGGAAATCTCCACATTTAGTACATTGGAAACAGACTGTAGTCTCTACCTAAGCTGAGACTCAGACACGTATACTTGGAAATAAGATCCAGACCAACAGCATGTTTATACAATTTTGAGAGGTTTCAAGTTGAAGACCAAAACACCAACTCTGATCTGGATGAGATCTTACAGCTGCATTATGATGATGTTCTAAAGCCTGGAATACACTACATGACTTTTAGATTAAAGGTTGTAAAGGGTTATAAAAAAAACAATTGGGCATCCCAAGGCATCATATATTGACGCTTTTGCCAATGCGTATACATCCAACACACATGGCACCCTTTAGCGTCAATATGAGACGGCGCCTCCTAGTGGTCTAACCCTAAAGGCCATTGCACACCGAGTCCGAAATTCGCATCCGAAATTTTCGCACGTTAAAAAAAAAATTCGACCTCACGTTATGTCAGTCACGCTTGCACACCGCCTCCGAAACTTTCGTCCGTCATAAAATTAATCGGATCGGGTTCGATTTTCTGCGTTTTTCGCATCCAGAGCCAGCATTTTGAGAGGTCTTTTGACAATTCAGGGCCGGGGGGAGCTCGTCCTCAAATCATTGCACATATGCGCCGTGCTTTCGGTTTCGGTTTTCAATTCGATCAAGTGTTTATGTTCTCTTCTCTATATTGGATTATGAAATTAATAAACCTCCCCTTTCAATCAGATTGAAATTTATTTTATCGAATAAGGTGTGATTGAGCAGCCTATTCGATAACTAATGTATTATTTGGGCACAATACAGTATACACAATAACAGCCTAGCTGTTCTGTCTGCCCAGCGCTTCCAACGGGCCGCGCGCGGGTGTGTGTTTGTCCGTCCGTGTGTGTGTGTCCATACCTGGTCCATTTCAGACACACTGCCAGTCTCCGTTCAGAATCGATTGGTTCACGGAAATTGGTGGTCTTGTTTTTAATATGTGGCTCCAGAATCGCTAGCAAAGCATCGAACTGTCCCACTGACATTCTGAGGTAAATTTTGAATCGCTCAGGATAAATTCGCAACTCCTTGATAAGGAACTCCTCTCGGCGCAATTTCAGGATTGGATGGACGTAATATTTTCTCTTTCTTCCCTTTTCAATAAGAGAGAGGGCAAAATCATCCTCACTGCTTGACGAATACATTTGGTATTTTTGCGTTTTTCCCCGCAAAGGTTTAAGAAATACGCAACGGACTCGGTGTGCAAGGTTTCTATGCGTGACGAATTTTTAAGCTGACGAACACGAAAATACGCATACGAATATTTCGTGCTCAGTGTGCAATGGCCTTAACCCTACACCAGACCTAAACCTACCATAACCGAAGCGTTATATTGACGCTAAAGGGTGTCATGTGCGTTGGATGTATAGACCTTATGTAGCCCCGCCCCTTTTCAGCGCTGCGCTCGTTGTCTTTTGTCTTCCTGTCTGTATTTTCACAGTGATCTTGCCTATTTATGAATGAACGGTCTACTTACATTTGTTAAGACATCTGCTTTAAACATTACAATCCCCATGATAACTTTAGTTAACTTTACATTAAGTAAATCCACTTCAAAAGCTAATTACTCCTAGACAGTAATGCCATAGAGATATACAGAGCGACAGCAAAAACGGAAGTTCAACAACAATATTCTGAAGATGGCGGTGCCCTTGTTTTTCTGGTGCATAAGGTCTATACGCATTGTCAAAAGCGTCAGTATATGACGCCTTGGGATGAGAATGCGTTGGCATAGATATCACACACTAAATGACTGAGGATCACACACTACCTGACTTTTACATTGTCCAAACACAACAAGCTCATGCAGAAACATGCACCTTGTTGCTAGAAGACGCATGACAAATGGAAACAACATGTTCTAAAATCGGCTCAAAATATCAAACATGTTTGATATCCTCAGAATGGATGGAATCATAGTCTGAAGCCAATAAAAAAAAAAAAAAACTCGTACTCGGTGCCAGTTTCTGTTAGATCAGCCAACTTCAATAGTCCAAAAATCTGCAGACTGTCTCTGACTTTTAGCAGCTGGCTTTGACTGTAAATCAGGACAAAAATCTGTGCAAAAGTCATATACTGTATTCCAGTCCTAACTCGCCAGATAATCTAATACAAAATGACAGAAGACATTGTTAGTTGTTTAGTAAAGTTTTAAGATTTGGATATCCAAATGTTTACATGGTTGTTTGACAAATAAGTCTACATTTTACAGAGGAATTTTTACTGTACACATGGACAACTTTACAACGCCATTGCTTTTGTAATATACTGTGTATATAACAACCTGCAGTTCATGTAGTGCAACCAAATTCAAAAGACACTTCTTCATCAGGCAAATGAATAGAGATCAGACACTTTAAAGGTTGTTGCATCCCTATCTAACAGAGAGAGAGAGCAAGATTCTGTGACATCATGAAATTCAGGTAAGTCATTTCACCATACAAAGCACAGTCAATAAAAACTATTCATTAATCTGAATATTTTTGCATTTACAGCATTATGCCAAACACATTCCTCATCCACAACACCAACTTGAACATCTTTCAAAGGGAATCGCATGTTAATGTCAGTCAAGGTAAATACCAAACTCTGCTATGGGACAAAACCTAAGCCCTTGTGCATTAGGACAATACATTTATAACTTAACATTAACAGTAAATGCATACAAAAAGGAGGTTACGTGAGCCGAAAGCCATTTTTTCACATCTACAAATGTCTCTCAACATCAGAAGATAGTTTCATGCCTTGATTTACGAAGAGCTGGGAGAGGGGGGCGGACAGATAATGGTAGGTTAACTGTATCATTCTGCATACTGCATACAAGAGGGTTTGCATATATATTCTGGAATAACTACAGCCGTTTACAGCTTTTTAGAGACCTGAAACCAAGGGCAAATCACATGAAGAAATGTCCAGGTCATAATTCACACCAAAATCAAAAGAAAACCAAATAGAGAACTATATTTTGCATTAACAAAATAAAGCCTCACTAAATACAAACACTATATCCCATATTATCCGGATACAATGACTTAATAAAAATGTATTTAATGTAGTACAACAAATACTACCATGATGTATACTTAAAACGGTCATCTCAATTTATTATAAATAATATACTTAAATAATTTGTTTTAATAATATATATTTAATGCATGTAAATTTGTTTTCTTGATGGTCAATTTAAATTTTGTTGTACCTAAAAAAAATAGGCTTCACTTTCTTTTTGCAAAACATATTATCTCATTGTTTGTCCTTTAGATTTTGTGTGTGTGTGTGTGTGTGGGGAAGTTATTTCTTAACAGATTGATCCTAACCTTCTTTATGACATCGCAAACAACACAACAATGTCAACAGCAGACTCTGACCTGTTTGACACAGACATGGAATCGTTTAGTGAAATCATGCAAGGGGAGATTTTCTTTTTTTTTTTTTTTTTGTCCACTTGGAATAACAATTCATGATATTCCATTGAGCCCATTGACCTTTCAGGGAAGTCACTGTAACACTCTCCCTTTAAGAAAGAAAAAAAAAAACAACTCACTACAAGAGCTGGTTTGATAGCTAGTCGTCTTCACCGTATGGCTTAATTCCAGTATACACTGCAAAGATGGCCAGAGAGTTAGTAGATGACTGGGAGAGCAATTTGTCATGTGATGATTGGTTACTTCCAAGCTGGAGTAAAATTCCTTTTAGTGGTTTCATTCTTGCCTGTATTAGTTTGCCATTAAGACAGTGTTAGAGAAGAATAATGAGTATAATATAATGAGCAAAACGAAATGTCACCATGATGCATTCTGGGTCGGGGCCCTGTAGTGTATACCATGAGAAAGCAGGAAAGGAAAAGGTGCATCTCTGCAGGGACATCTCTTATCTGACACACTGCTGGCTCTGTCTCACTGAAGTCAATCAACAGGGCTGGGTTTCCTCTCAACGCTCTGTCCTCAAGTCCAGCAGAGGTGTAGTGCGCTATGGTTTTGAAAGCATTTGCCGTACAAACAGGCAAAAGCCTCCTTTGTGTCTTGAGTTGCATGGCTTGCATTGCGTTAGTATTGCTTTCCTGTTCCCTTCCTGGGGGAGTGAGACACGGAGACCTGAGAGACAAAGCTGAACTGTTTTCTGCAGATCTGACATCTTTACATCCATCATTGTATCTGCAGTAACTTTAAAAGGAGGTTTAGGAGTGTTCATCAACAAATGGCCACTGTGCTTATAAGCCAATAAAGACAAAACCAGATTTCGTTTTGGAGTTACTTTACATGCAGACGTTGAGTTCAGTTTCTCGGTCTCCGATTCACTGAAGAAAGAGTCAGAAGAATCCTGACTTGAAGACATTAAACTGAGCTGGTTTTAAACTGATTGTATAAGGCGTTTGGAGCTCTTTTGGCTTCAAATGCTAAAAAAAGAAGAACATAACACTAAATATGGATCTTCAAGTGGTTCAAAAACTTTTCTGAAGGTAATGTTTGTACACTCTAATATACTTCTATGGTTGAGCTCCTCAAAGAGTCTCTAAGTCTGACTTGATGCGTTTAGCTCAGTTCTACTATTTTAAAAGTTAGTTCATTTCTTTATTCACTTTCCATTTGGTGAA